GCCTGGCAAGTCTCTTCTCCGGCCCCACGTCGGGCTTTCGGACCCTTTTATGCGGTACACCGTTTGGCTGGCACAGACCACTGCCTCTGTCCGTTCTCCAGGCGCGAAAGGATATATGGGCGCGATTGTCTGGGCCCTTCTTTGGGTTAAAAGCAGGGCTTGCCACAACCTGCGGATGCACCCCACTCCAGGCGGTGCCCAGTGGGTAAGATGCCCACAACGGAGGGATTCTTTTAGGTGATAGGGAGACCTGACTTTAAATAACAAAATAAGAAAAGTGGTCATTTCCCTTTCAGCATTCCAAGAATTACCTAGTATTTAGTGACTTCCTCCTCCCTTCCCTGCCAGCCATTGCCTGTCTAGGTCCCCTATTGTGGCCCTTAGGGCGTGTTTGTCTTGTACACAGCAACGCCGTGAGCACAGGCCTGTGGCTCCCTTCGTTCTTTCTATCCTCTACCGTGGAAGGGATGTGTGGGCCCGTTTGTCCGGGTGCTCCTTCGCCTAGACTTGTTAGGGGCTTTCCTCAGCCCTACCAATTCACCCCACTCATGATGGAGGTGCCCAAAGCATGGGAAGGGATCTTTGTATGTGATAGGTGAACCCGGCATCAAATAACAAAGTAAGACAAGTGGTTCTGTCCCTCTTTGTGTTCCTGGCAACTGCATAGCATTTAGTCTGTTCCCATCCTTGTGTCTCATCTTGGCTATTTGAACCCTACCAGTGATCCTTTATGTTTTTAATTTCTTTTTAAGTTTATTTATTTATTTTGAGAGAGCACACGCAAGCACAGGAAGGGCAGAGGGAAGGTTAGAGAGAGAATCCCAATCTACTGTCAGCACGGAGACTGATGTGGGGCTCGAACTCACAGAGAGATTGTGACCTGAACAGAAACCAAGAGTCAGTCCCTTAACCAGCTGAGCCACCCAGGTGCCCCCCTAACAGCAATCATAAAGGGGACATTAGTTACGAGCCAGTTTCCCAAAGGCAAAAGTGCACACAGCACATGGAGTTTAAGGTAGCTAACCCAGGGTCACGGTGCTGGGAGGTGGTACCCTGGATATGGTTCCAGCCACTGCTGGAGGGAAAGAAAGTAAATGATAAAGCCTCCCTTTGGCCCGCAGATATGTCTTTAGCTCCACTCTACTGTGTCAAGCTCAATCTTGGGAGTGACAAAGTGAAACAAAAGGAGTATATATATATGTATATGGAATATATGATATATATGTATCATATATATGTATGTATATGTATATACATATGTATATATGTATACATATCATATATGTATATATGTATATATACATATATATACATATATTCCATATACATATATACATATATATATGGTACATGATTTTATAGCACACTTCTGTGTCTGGAAGTAAACTCATTCTCACTTTCAGTAGTGGTAAAAGACTTTGCTTTTCATATAAATGTATTTCAAAAAATATGAATCATTCAAAAGAAAATGTTAAGTAAGATACGGTTGCAGAGGACAGCAGAGATGGCAGGCATCCATCTGTATCTATTATGAGGACTTGGACTGTCTTTCTCATGGCTTTATATCCCTAGGGCCGACCCTTCTTGTGTGAGAAGAGAGGATAACTCTCTCTGGACAATTGGTCACATGCTCATTGGGTGGATGGAGACAACACAGGACACGCAGCTAAGCCCACCAGGCTGGGCTTATTTTTCTGGAGGTAGAGAAATGTCTCCTATGCTATGAATGCTATTAATAAAATAATAGCTAACATTATGGATTACTCACTGTGTCCAGGCATCATTCTCATTTCTTTACATGTATTAAATAATCTCATTCTAAGAGCCACCGCCCTACTATTTTTCCCCTTTTATAGTGCAGGAGACTGAGCCACAGAGAGGTTTACGTCACACAGCTGTAAGTGACACGAGGGGGCGTTGCACTCATGCAGGCTGACTGTAGCATCATGCCCTCCCCCTCCACCCTGCACCATGACTTCGCATGAAAGGTGAGGACAGAGAGGCACAGAGCAGCAGTGGGAGGAGCACTGAGAGGGCAGTCAGATCCTCTGCAGAGCTCTGCGACCTCTCTGGGCTTCGGTTTCCCATCTCTCCAGATAGGGCACAACTAGACTATCTATCTCAAAGGACCCTTCCAGCTCTGAATGATGAGAGGTAGGATTTAGCATCCAGTGACATCATGATCAGCCAGTGGTGGCCAGAGGGTGAGGTCAGCTGTAGTATATAAATTAATAACTCTGACTAGGAGCTATGTGACCTGGAGCTGGTTGCTTAATCTCTCTGGTGTTGGCACAATCACTTCAGTCCCTGCATGTTCGCTTTTAACTGTTTCCTGTACAGATCAAATGACGTAAAGGATGGGAAAGATTCTTGTGTCTGTCCAAATGCGGTGGCAGCATCCCGTCCCTAGGGGCTTATTGCTGGACATCCACACTCCCCTGGGCCCCAGGTCAGCAAATTTCTAATCCCATCTCTAGCCTCCAGAGTAATACTTCCAAACCAAAGAGTCTTTCTCTGGAGCATGTTGGGAGCTGGAAGTATTCTCTCTCCACAAATGACAGTGTGAATATTGTAGTGACCATAATGACCACTGTTTGTTAAGCCCTAGCCAGGAGCCAGGACACTATCTCACTTAATTTCTTACATTGAAATGTCATCTCCCTTATACAAATGAAGAAATGAGGGCTTCGTAAGTGTCAACAAATTGCCCAGGTCACGTGGCCGAGAAATGGCAAGGTAAGCTGTGAACCAGACTGCCTGACAGCAAAGCCCATGCTCTGGGCACGGGCTGGCTTCATAAATCCCCTTTTCACACCCGGCACCCACAGGCAAGCATGGTCCTGATTCAGGGCCACATGACTCACTTTCTCTTTGATTGAACATCAAGTAGCAACTCCCTCCACAAAGAGCCCCGGGGGACTAACCGTTGGCACTAATTACAAGTCACTCAAGGCCTCTCTCCTGCCTAATAAACACCGCAAAGACTTCCAAACTGCAGGACTGGCCATCACCCTGCACAGACAGACATGAAGTACTTCGTCTGGAACCAGTTCTTGGATGGCCTCCCTCTTGTGGGGAAATGGCTGGGCAATTGTCTCCAATTCCCTAGTGACTTTGTTGGTTTCAAGTTGCCAAGGGCAGATTTTGTAGGGGCGGATGCCAGCCTGACCTGGGGAGGAACTTCCAAAGACTCAGAGCCAAGTCACAACAGGGAGCTCTCAGGGGTACTGGGTGTCCTGTCAGTGCCACTAGACAAGCCAACACTGACGGATTCCCTGTGCGGGTGTTGGAGACGGTGCTACTCAAGGTGTATGTGGTCCACACACCTTGTGAACTGTTTCTAGTGCTCAGTGCACACCTTTGATGAATACATGTGTCGTTTGCAGTTTTTAAACGTTTTGTTATTTTGTTCCTCAAAACAAGAGGGAAATTTGTTGAATCAAAACATGGGTTTTGTAAATTGTGCCTTTTAAAGTTTTTTCTTAGTAATTTATTTTGCCAAAAATTGAATCTGTGTCAGAAAGTAAAAATTGGGAGGTGCCTAGATGGCTCAGACGGTTAAGCATCCGACTCTGGATTTCAGCTCAGTTTCATGATCTCAGGGTTTGTGGGTTTGAGCCCCACATTGGGCACCTCGCTCTCAGTATGGAGCCTGCTTGGGATTCTCCCTCTCCCTCTCTCTGCCCCTCCTGGCTCATTCTCTCTCTCTCTCTCTCCTCTCAAAAATAAAAAATAAAAATTGGTCCTTCAAGTGTGTCAGAAGCAAGCCCTGTAAAGAAAAGTCAAACAAGTGGGGAGGTAGATTCCATCCCCAGAGTATTTTTTTAAAGATTTTAGTTAAGTAATCTCTACACCCAACGTGGGCCTTGAACCTACAACTCCAAACCCCGAGATCAAGAGTTGCACACTCCTGGGAATGCGAGCTGGTGCAGCCACTCTGGAAAACAGTACGGAGGTTCCTCAAAAAAACTAAAAATAGAACTACCCTACAACCCAGCAATTGCACTACTAGGCATTTATCCACGGGATACAGGTGTGCTGTTTCGAAGGGACACGTGCACCATGTTTATAACAGCACTATCCACAATAGCCAAAGTATAGAAAGAGCCCAAATGTCCACAGTGGATGAATGGATAAAGATGTGGTATATATACACAATGGAGTATTACTTCGCGATCAAAAAGAATGAAATCTTGCCATTTGCAGCTACATGGATGGAACTGGAGGGTATTATGCTGAGTGAAATTAATCAGTCAGAGAAAGACAACAATCATGACTTCACTCATATGAGGGCTTTAAGAGACAAAACAGATGAACATAAGGGAAGGGAAACAAAAATACTATAAAAACAGGGAGGGAGACAAAACAGAAGAGATTCATAAATATGGAGAACAAACTGAGGGTTACTGGAGGGGTTGTGGGAGGGAGGATGGGCTAAATGGGTAAGAGGAACTAAGGAATCTACTCCTGAAATCATTGTTGCACTATATGCTAACTAATTTGGATGAAAATTTAAGAAAATAAAAAACAAAACAAAACAAGAGTTGCACACTCTACCACCTAAGCCACCCAGGCGACCCTCCGGAGTACTTCTGAAGCCTAACATTGCTGAGGATCAAAGCTCAGCAGGGAATCCTAATTAGATATTGAGAAGTTGTAGACCACAAACACTTCCCACAAGATTGAGGGGAACTGTTTTGCCCCATACTGTTAGGGCATCTAGATACTTTCATTTTCATCCAAGAAACTGATTCAGAGGTAACCTGACTCCCATAAGGCACAGAGTGTTAGGGGCTAATACTTGGGGGTCCAGGACCCAGGTCTCTGCACTTATGGTCCAATCCTCCACTCCAGCCATGGGGAATATGAGGTCCCTTATATCCAAAGCATGAAAAGAGAGCCATAATAAATTCAACTTTTATTTTATTCAAGTTTTGTTATAAGTCATGTATTTTATGGAAACAGGAATGTAGCAAACAGGTCATGGTAAAATGAAAAAGTAAAAAAAAAAAACTGCAGGTTTGTACATGTTGCTCTATTTACATCTGGAACAGGTGCTCCCCCACATCAGGCACAGCAGCTGCACTTGTCCGATGCCCCTTTGCAGATGCAGCCCTGGGCACATTTGGCACAGCCCACGGGGCAGCAGGAGCAGCAGCCTGGGGGAGAAAGGCCCGAGTGGGTCAGAGCCCAAGTGGGTCACCAGGAACCTCCCTTCCCACAGCGGGCCCGGCACAGCTCTGCCCCCAGCCCTGCAGGGCCCTGGGTTGAGGATGGCCTGCTCTGTCCCTAGACAACTGGGTCCTACCCCCTAGCAAGAGGCTGCCTTGCCCCCATCTGATTCCAGGACAGGGCAGAACGCCTGCAGACACAGAGACAGGGCCTCCAGGGACAATGGAGGCTAGTCCTTTGCCCCCCTGAACCACACAGTGACGCGAGGGAAGTCCTCAAGGTCAGAGAGGGGGCACCCCCTGCCTACCAGCACCCAGGAGGGCCAGGGAAGTTCTGGGCTGTCTGCAGAGGAAAGGGCTGCACCAGGTCAGAGACACCACACGTGGTCATCAAATTCATGAACATCAAGTGTCAGGACACTGGAGGGTTCAGAAGGCAGGAGACCTAGGTTCTGGTGCTGGCTGCATCCTTGACACGATTTGCTGACCTCTCTGCAGGGGCCTCGGTTGCCCTGTTCTAGGATGAGGTGGGGACTCCACCATCTTATCTGCAGGAACTTTCAGTGCCAATTCTGAGTCAGGGGCTGAGGGAAGGGGATGTAGAGAAGCTGGGTCATCTGACCCAGCCCAGCCCCCTTGGGAGAACACCCCACACTCACTCTTCTTGCAGGAGGTGCATCTGCACTCTTTGCACGTGCAGGAGCCGGCGCACGTGCAGGAGCCACCTGCCAGGGAGAGAAAGAGACGCAGTGAGCACAAGTGCGGCCTAGGAGCCACAGTGGGTGGGCAACACACGCCCCCTGCGGCCTCCGGGTCAGTGCCCAGCACCAGGAGCTCGCTCCTCACGCAGGACGGGTAAGGGCAGCCCCACTCCTGTCTCTGCGGTGCTAGGAAAGGTAGGTCCCCTCCGGCTTTTACTCCACACGGAAGGTCTCGGGCCTTCCGAAGGGCTAAGAGTAGAACCAGGGCCTGTGGTCTTGAACCCCTTGGAGGCAATGCCCCACCTCCCATCAAGTGCTGGTGGCTCCAAGGCCTGAACAGAGCACTGTGTCCCAGGTCAGCAGCCCTCGACCAACAGGAGGCTTCGACGTGACCGCAGTACCCTCCCCTCTAACACAGGGGGCAGAGAGAGAACGGAAATGCTCTCAGGGGCTTGGCGGGGGAGAAAGCACAGCACGTGCCCACGTGCCCACGACTGGATTCAGCTCAAGTCCAAAACAGTCGCTCTTCTAACCCCAAGAACAGGCGGTCCGGGCCTGGGAAACTGCACCCTAAGACTCAGAGCCGGGGGCCCTTACCGGCGGAGCAGGAGCAGTTGGGGTCCATCTGGAGTCGAGGTGACGACGGAAGTCCAAAGCAGGCGACACAAGAGGCACACCGCTGATGGCTGGAGG